TTTAGTGTTTTAAAGTTTAGTTTTGCATTCTTTGAGTCTAGTATAGTGTTTTATATTGTGTTTTTACGTTTTTGAGTGAAATCCAAGTGATTAACAATCCCTCCTAATCCCTGGTCTTGAACAATCCCTACTTACATACTTACTACAATTGTCAAAAAGAGGGTTTAATTTGTGTGCGTATAATTCTCGCATCAATTGTTAATGAGATAAGATCAAGGGACACATATTTTGACAAATATCTTTACACTTCATATTATCTCTTGGATTTTTTATATTTAATGGTCATGATAAAAAGCAATGTTCTAAAAATCGGCCTAGGCATTCGGCGGTGGAGTCCCGATTCGATTTGGGCTAAATCGTTCAGGTAAGGCGGGAAGGATTTAGGCGGTTGCCTAGGCGTCTCTAGGCGCTCAAGGCGGTGCTAGGCGGCGGTCGATGCTTTGCAAATCGTGCAAGTATTATTCTTTAAAAAAAAAAAATACTTCCAAAAGGATTTTAAGAATGTATTTTTTTTTTTTTTTTGTGTTTCTCTAGTTGATAAGAAACACATAGTAATTGTTTGGACCCGATTTTATATTTTTGACCCAAGCAATCGAAGCCCTTGGATGATTATGAAAATTAAGAGATTTTTCTTAGCATTACTATTGATTTTAATCATAGTAATTATCTTGAAAATATCCTCAAAGCTTACAAAGTTTAGAGTTATGCATGGGATTCTTTTGCAGATAATCAAGGGTTTTATCGGATTGTGGAGAAATTAAAGGAGATTGCATAGTTGGCTACTTGTCAACCCCTTACAATCAACGTAGTAGTAAAGAGAGTTATGTGAGGGCTTGCCGTGTAGCTTTAAGATTCTATCCTAATCAAAATGGTATCTAGTCAGTTGCATGGATTCCATATTTGAATGGGTTTGCATGCAGAACCACGTGGAACAATGGTACAAGGATGCAACTTTGGATGATTAGCATATGGATATGCCATTTTATCTGTTTGAAACATTAAGAATTTAAGATGGTGATGTACTGTGAAGACTAAAAGGTCCAATGCATCGCAATGATTAACATTACAATATCACCAAAAGTTAGAGGATAATGAGTGGTAATGCATGATTATTATTTCACAAGGTATGGTTCATGAAGGACTCTGCAACGAGGATAGCCCTTTCAAATCAACACACAAATTGCCCTACGCAAAGCTTCTCAACAACCCTGAGATTTTTTCCTCTCCCCTTTTCTTCTCGTGAACACATCTTCAGTTTAGATAGACATTAATGTGAAGGCAACCGGTGATATCTTCAATTTGGATAGACAACATTTGAGCCGTATAATCAATCGACTGATGAACACCTTCAGTTTGGATAGATAGCACTGCTTCGAGACCGAATGGTTATTTATCCAAGTCACGGTCAATAAGGATTTACAAGTCTTTGTTAGTAAAGGTCATCTCATCAGCCTTCTCGACGAAGTAAAGTGTTACCAAGTTACTACATTCGGCACATTGAAAGCCGAATTTGAAATTGAACTTCGCAGAACTAGCAGCCTTGTCTTCAGGCTCTAGAACCCGAACGCTGAGACGTGTTCCTTCCTCGGCCTCAGTCGCAAGATCAAGAAGTCAGCATCGCACCCAACGCCACATCAACATATTTTACTCCCTGGCTGAACTCGACCAAAGAGTTGGCACGCCCTGCGCACAACCGAATGACGTAGTTAACTTATTAATTACTCGGCATATGCGCCACATAGGCTTGGCAGTTTTTAGGGTCAACAGTAATATACGGAACATCTATAGTATGTGAAAAATATATATTCAATGGTGTGAGAATTCCGAACCGAAAAAAAAATATATATAAATATATATATATATATATTTTGGTTGTATTTTTATTGAATGTTGAATTTAAGTAGTTTGATAATAAACTATGTTAGAAATAGAAGTATGAAATTAAGTAGTTTAAAACATTGGAGCGTCAATTGGACTTTGTATGAATAAATTGGTATTTCAATTGGTATGAAATTTCAAATTGATATGAGGTAAAAAACTTAAATTTCAATTGATATGAAATTGGACAATAAAATTTCAGGCTCATAGCCCAAATTTTGGCCCACACCCCAAAAATCTCAATTTTCAGCCCAAAAACCCGAAATCCAAAGTTCAGTCCCGATCCATCCTGAAATATCGTAAACATATCGAAATTCCAAAAATTGAGAATACCGGAATTTCGGTTCAAGATTGGTTTTCAATTTTTCATCCCAAAAATTTTCGATTTGAGATTCAGAATCTCATTTTTAGTTTGAAATCCCATACCGAACCACCCCTACACAAACTTACTAACTCTAACTCGAAGTTTTTTAGAAGTCTTGTTAGAAATTATATATTATAATATTTAAGTTTTGTATGAATGAAAAATAAGAGTTAAGTGTCATAGTTGAATTCAAATTAATGAGTTGCGTATGGTCGTTAGAACGTTAGGCAACAGTCACAATGTTTCAAAAGTAGTGGCTTGAGTTCTACATAAACTCAAACATCCTACATGTCTAAATAATCGAAGAAAAGAGTTTTCTTCAATGTCTTTTATTCTTTGTTAGTCAAACTCCAAGTTGTATCTTGAGAGTACGAAATATATGAAGTTCGCCAGAGTCCGAAGATTGAAGTGTTTTGACTTCAGATTATAAATTGTTGAATCCTGGAAGATAGACGCCTACCGAACTACAAACACAAGAGTAGAGGCGAAATTCTATCTTTAGAACATTACATTTATGCAAGCCTCAATCTCCAAGTTTGTCAATTTTTTGAACTTTCTCTCTAGTTGTTTATGTTAATCTCATATATAATTGATGTTGTGAATTTTTTTATGATTATTATGATTGGAATTATATTATTATTTTTTATATTTTATAATATTGCTCAAACAAGTCTTACTTGTGTTTTGTCTCCGTCTGTGCGTGATCCTTCAAATATATCTCTGATCGGAGCAGTCTGCCCCCACCACTCTCATAATTCGCATTTGCTTCGGAACTCCTCCCTCTCTCCCTCTCTCGTTCAGCAAAGCCATTGCTCGAAACTGACACACAAATAAAGACAGTGATCGAGGGAGGAGGGAGGAGGGAGACATTGATGCTTTCATTGAGGATAGAGAAAAAACTTCTCCACCTACTCCATAACCCCACCATGTTTGATGTCCGAGTGCTGCAACTTTAACACTTCACCATTTCACGCCATTTCTCTTTCTGGGTTTCACGAATGTCAGCTCCCGAGGCAACCCACCACCGCCGTTCGGCCACCGGAGGCAGCGGCGCGTCGGTCTCGGATGACTCCGACGACAACCAGTCCTGGCGCTCGATGTCTGACTCCGGCAATGTCCGGAGGAAGTCTTGTGAGTCAGATTGTTCAGTGGAGGAGGTGGATTTGGAGAGTGGGCTTTTGGAGGTGAAGAAGGTGGTGCATTTGAGTAAAGTTGAGAGAAATTGCAGGATTTGCCACCTGGGTTTGGAGGGAGGTGGTGGAACCGACCCTGCCTCTGGGGTCCCGATTGACCTGGGGTGTTCTTGCAAAGGGGATTAGCGTGCTGCTCATAAGCAATGCGCTGAGACTTGGTTCAAGATCAAGGGAGATACGTGAGTACAAAATTTTTCTGAGTTTAATATTCATTATTTTCTTTGGTTTTTGGTGTTTCTGCTTGAAATTATGAACACCCATTTGCTGGATTGTGAATGTTTGTTCTGCTTGAGTGTTTAATGATGGTCCGAAAACTTTAGGATTATATTTTGTTCTGTTTCTGCATTGAAGTGCAAGCACATGGATGTAATTGGTTCCCAGAGTCAGCTCTCTCACTTTTGATGTGGTTTACTTCAAACTATGAACTTACTATGGGCATGTTACAACATATACCATCTTGGTGGTGTTTAGGTTCCTGCTTCCGAGAGTTCAGCTTATTCGAATGATTACTTGCTAATTAGCTTCTTTCTTTTCATGTAATTGTCACAATTGTTCTTATCATTTTGCTTCTTACTGGAATGCCGAATTAGGCAGATCACGTATGTTGTAGAATGCGTATGCTCATATGAAATACGAGAAAATCTAGTAAAAGAACAATCTTGTAGTCACCACAATTACAATCCATCTGAACTCAAAGATATCCATCGTTCTAGGTTCATAGTTTTTATAGTCACACTTTCTGTGGCATTTACATTAGTGGAAAGTGCGAGGTCCAATGCAAGCTAAAGGAAGTGTGTTTGTATGCAAGAATTGAGCTCCTATGTCGAAAAGTAGATATCTTGTGTGCCATGTATCTTTTCTGTATGCTTCTAATAAAGATGTAAATGTTTAAATTATGCATATGGATTAGTAAATGATGATGAGCATTTGCATTCTTTGGTTCCATCACAAGTTTATTTCGTTTATACATATGGGAGATTTTCTACACTCCAAGGATGATAATTTGGTAAAGTTCAAAGGAAATATCCAAACTTAGGCTACAGGAAATATAATCTAGATAAGCTGCATCACATGATAATACAATGACATACATACATCATAGATGGATTGGTGAAGACTTGCTGCGGTGGTAACCAGGATGAGGACAAGATATGCAAGAACAGCAAGCTAGTTCAAATTTCAACTCATCATGGTAAGCAAATGGAACGACATCTTGACTACATGACTTTTCTTCCAGAAACAGAAATAGAAGATTGATGGCTTTGAAATCACTTATAGTGATTGTATAGCATTCTCTTTTATATTTTTTAGATTTGTATGCTGTTGGTTACACGTCATTATGTTTGTTCAAAATCCTCATGGTACATTTCTTCATTATGTTGCGTTATGGTTGCAAATACCAGTCTTGTCTGACTAAGCGTCATTATGTTCGATTTTTCCTTCTGCATAAGCGTCTTAGCCAACAATTCCTGTCTTTGCTTTTTCCTTCTGTCTAAGCGTGTTAGCTAACAATTTACCAAATGACTCAAAATATAATATACAAAAAAGACACAGAAACTTACTCACTTGTTGCCCTTAACCTTGAACCAAAGTACCAGCACAGTTCTTGTGGGCAGCAGCCAAATCATCCTTGCAAGAACAACCCAATTCAATCGGAGCCCCGGATTCGTGGCTGTTACTCTCCAAAGCCTGATATTCATAAAACCTGTGTCAGCTTTAAAAAATCTAACTATTTTATGAATCACCAGCTACCATTCTTTAGAATCAGTTTCCTGGGAACAAAGATCATTCGAATGTCACTATTATTAAACCTATTAGCAAGAACAAAGATTCTTAAACTTCCTATTTCCATATATGAATTTAAGGAGGAGAGAAAAACAGAGTCATGCATTAATGAACTAAATGGAAACTAAACAGAGTATTGTATTCAACTTTCACAATACGAAAAAAAATAAAAATTTGTTTCCACAAAAGCCCCAAAGAGAAGCTGAAATTGCTCACCTTGAGTTACAAAACCGCAAAAAAGGAAAAACCAGGGTCCCCTGACACCGAAAACAAAACCAAAGTAAAAACCCATATGCAGCCGAATTAAACACATACATGCAGCTGAATTAAACACCCACACGCAGGATCCGATGGTACTAACAAAACCCTCAAAATCGCAAAAAAAAAAAATTAAATTTGAACAGAAAACCCATATGCATATCCAAAATCACAGAAAAGAAATTGAAACACCTAAATTGAGAAAGCCATAAAAACTCACCAGGAAACGCTAGCTTTTCTAGGTAAAAAATTTCTCCGAATCCAACCGAAGAACCGAAGAAACTTCTACAAGTTAGGTGGTTTTTCAGCAAGAAAGTGCGGTTGGTAATTTGTGAGACAAAGCTCGCAGGGTCGGAGAAGGAGAGAAGGCAGCTTTGGAAAGCGAAAGGAATCGAGGTTCAAGAGCAGGGAATTGTGAGGGAAAAAAGTGGAACGGAGGGAAAAGTCGAGAAGAAAGGTCGTGCAGAGCGATGAGCGACGCGTGGACAAACGCATAATGGAGAAGAATCGGAGGGCATTTATGCCATTGAAAACAACAGAAGCTGAGAAGTGATCTACGGGTGGAGACAAAGGGCAAAGTCGTCTTTTAACTGTAAAAAAAAAGGAAAAAAATGCAAATAACAAAGGAATTGGAGGGCATTTTCGCCCGTTTACAGTTAATGAACAGTAATTTTGTATTGAGTTTTAGTATATGTATAATTTCATGAGATGTTAAATGTTATTGATATTTAGTTGATATTGTTAATTTAATGTAAATATTATTATTTATTAATAAGTCCAAATATTACATACCAAACGACTTGCTTATAACTTGCACGGTATATTTAGTTTTAATCGTCCGATTAAATCGAACGGCCCATACAACCCCCACACTTAAGTTTTTGGGTCCACCATTCATCATCATCAGTCAACTGTGTTGTCTAAGTAACTCATACAAACGTCAGATTATTCTCAAGCGTCCTAAGAAAGTTCTGATAATTCTCAAGCGTCATAGAAAGTTCCAGAAATTCACACATACATTTCCAGTCTCATCTTTAAGTCTGTTTTAGAAAATTCTTCTGTTCCTTAAAAATACACAACCAAATCCGCTCTTCTTGCAATCAGTCCAGCAAAAGCAATAATTCTATAATGATTCTCAAATTTCTCAACATCCAAACCAGCCCCATCTATTTTTCAGAATGTCGCTCGTCCCCAACTCCCGATGAGGAAGCAGCAGCGTCTTCGACACATTCTCCCTCAATCTGTGGGACCCTTTCAAGGATTTCCCATTCCCTTCCTCCTCATCACTATTTGCATTTCCTGAATTTTCTTAGGAGAATTCGGCTTTTGTGAACACTAGGGTCGACTGGAAGGAGAGCCCCGAAGCCCACGTGTTCAAGGCGGACGTTCCGGGGCTGAAAAAAAAGAGGTGAAGGTGGAGGTGGAAGACGACAGGGTGCTTCAGATCAGTGGAGAGAGGAACGTGGAGAAGAAGGACAAAAATGACAAGTGGCACATAGTGGAGAGAAGCAGCAACAAGTTCTTTAGGAGGTTTCAGCTTCCGAAGAATGCAAGGGTCGATTAGATTAAGGCTGCCATGGAGAATGGAGTTCTAAGTGTCACTGTTCCAAAGACAGAGGTGAAGAAGCTTAACGTCAAAGCCATTGAAATCTCTGGTTGAAATTCTGATTTTTTTTTTTTTTAAGATTTTATCTATGTTATACGCCACATATAAATGCATGAAAAATACATATGTGCATTATTCGACAACTCTACTGAAATGGTACTTTGAAAAATTCAAACCAGATCTAAATTTTTAAATAGTAATTAATTTAAAACTTTATCATTTTGATCTTTTTAATAATATGTTAAAAATACATATAAAAAGCATTTTTTGTACTATAAAAACTATATGTCAAAATTAGGTCCATTAAATGTAAAAAGTAAGTACATACATTAGAGTTTTTACAAACGTGCAAGTTAACGAAACACGTATTAAAAATAAACAAATAAATTCTTAAAAATATATGGAATAATTTTGAACTGGATTAGCTTAAGAGATTGAGCTAAATTGTCTTGGTTTGAATAAAGCAAGATAATAATAGTGAAGTGTTTGTGCATTGTTAGGACTAGCCACAAACAAAATACCCTAAAATTTTGTAAGGCTCTTATGGCAACCCCTCTCATCAACCCACTTATTGAACAAAAGTTGGACATATTTGTAAGGCTCTTATGGCAAAAGCTTCAACAAGAACTTTGAATTTTTTTTTATTAAAATTCCTTGACAACGTCGAATGACGAAAAGGATTGAGGCGTGACTAATCCTGACGTAATTTCTGGCAAGATTTTCTTGACAGTTTTGAGATGAACATTGAGATGGTAATTTTTGGCGGGCATTGTCTAAATCAGGGGTTAGGTGTGGATTGACGGCGTTGAACTGATGATGGTGAAGTTAGAAACGATGGAAGAGGAAAGAATTCGTACGTAGTACAAGCTAATCTTCCACTTCTACATCAAATTGTGTAAGACCAGTTAAGGAGGTCTAGAGTCCATACAACCACCATGTCAATCCTCCCCCCGCAATCCCTAAACCCCATTCCTAGATTTTCCAAAATTTTTTTCTAATTCTTCGTCTTCCTCAAATCTCCTTAAAATTTTCTCTTAGTTTTCATGGGTCTGAAGTTGAGTTTACGTCTGAATTAGCTTCCCTTTTTTACTAGGTCGTGAGGAGGGATCGAGATCGAGAGCTCTCTTTGTGCTCGTGCCTTTAATCTTAGGTGCAACCGCCTCCACCGTGACACCCAATTGGAAGACCCATGGAGAAAACCCGAAAAAATGAACCTCGCAGAAAGGAATCGACCTCATCAACGCGTGGTGGTGCACGAAGGATATTTGGACCTAAACTCATTGCTGTAGCGGCTGGGTGGCAAGGACCATCGCCGCCGATGTCGAATGAGTCAATCGACGCCGTGCCGTGTGTCAAGATTTGGAAATCATATATTTGGTTTCAAATTATTGGTTATGCAAATTTCAACTTTGATAATTTGGAAGTATTAGGGATTGAGAGGGGGAGATTTAAGAACGGGGACTATTGACATGGTTGTATGGGATGGGTGGTGGTGGTGGAGAAGGAAGAAGATGGCGATGGAGGTCTTGGGTGGGAGAAGGGAGTGGGCCCCTCTTTGTTTTGTTTTAATTTAAGTTTTTGTTTAAATTGTTTTTTGTTAACAAATTATTTTTTTATGCCACATCATCAAATATGTTGATCGCGCATTTGCCACGTCATCACTTAACGGTCAAACTAACGGTTTAATTAATGGATGTATGAAACTGCAATAAAATTGTGTATGAGATTAAGATGTTTTAAAGATGTTGTATGAGATTGTAATTACATTCAAACCCGAGAGGATAAAATGTAATTTACCCTAGAATAATCAAATAGAACAATCCACAAAGGAGGTCGTTTTGATCTAAGGAATAGGATCCCCACCTTGCTTGTTCATGAGCTGGGACCAAGATTGAAGACTTGCTGAAACAAAGCTAAAGATCCCTTATGAAAGTGTACTTTCGTTCGTTCTTCATTCCGTCCTTGACCCATGATCAATGACTTAATCCACCCAGAAGTAGAAAACCCAAAAAACTTGTAAAACCCAAAAGAAATTACGAATTAAAGTACTCAGAAATAGAAAACCCAGAAGCCCAGAAGAAATCGAGATTTGAAATCACAGTTTTAGTATTGGGTTTTGGCTGTGCGGGCTTTCTCTCTTATGAAGTTCTGCGTTTCGTCTACCTAGCTGGCTTTTCTTCCTTCTTGGGCTCCTCCGTCATCGAAGTCTGCTGGCTATTGAGAAAGAGGGAAAGACAGAGAGCGCAGCAATTCCTTGGTTGAGGAGGATTTTTCGCAGGAGCAGAGAACGGCATGAACCCGACTAATTATACGAAGGTATTAGAGAAGATATCTAAGCGGGTATATTATCTATACTAAAACCCAAACTTCTGGTTACTGTTTGCAGTGTGCAGACCAAAATGCCCCTCAATCTGTTTGTTAAGCCACTTTTTTGCCATCTGCACCGAACGGTTTGGTTTTGCGGTTTTGAAACCTAACCGCAACATAGAAAACGGTTTGGTTTTGGTTTTGACTTTTGACTTTTGACAACCGCACCGAAGCCGAACCGCATCGCAAATATTAATAAACATTTAATTAAATGTCCATATTAGATTTCATGTTTTAATTGGTTGTTTGTTAGAATGCATACACTTAATATGGATTCAACCACACTAGAATATCATCATTCATCACTTTCTTTCGTTCATTAACTTGAAGGACCTTTGTTATTTTATACCATCACACACACATAATTGTACTAGGGTGGACTAATCTTGTTATCAAGAGTCGAACAATGATCTAATGAAGTCCACTCATTTGAAGCATGATATCACATATTCTAGTATGAAAGTTTCACTCAAGTTTAATGAATTCAAATTTTTTCAACTTGTTTTATGATAAACATTGTAAATGACACCATTTTGTTGCACAAACATGTTTTAACATCACAACTGCATGCAAAATGCTAATTGTTTACATAACAAATGTCTTTTTCCTATTGCTATTGGAAAATGCTTATTAATATGTTAAATTGCAAATTGTACATTTTTTTCTTAAAAACCAAACCGAAACCGTTTGAAACCGCACCGAACCGAACCAAACAGTTTGGTTTCATTTCGATTTTGACTTCAAAACTGCATCAAATTGAACTGCAAAAAAAAATCGACTTTGGTTTCGGTTTCGATTTCGGTTTTGGGTTCAATTTTAAATGGGTTGTTGCTTTCGGAGTTTTCGTTTGATGACAGAGATGGGGGTTTTTGGGGAGAAACTTTTAATCCGTGAGTTTTTTTAGTTAGGTTGTGTTGTGGGTCTTCACAAATTTCTAACAAAAGTAGCTTGACGATGAAAAGATCTAACCAAAAGAGGGGGAGAGAGCGGGAGGGGGAGAGAGACAGAGTGAGCTCTGTGTAGAAGAGTGTTGAAACGGCAAGATCTGCAATTGGAAAGAAGGCGATGGCGGCAGATTCTATTGTGCTAGGTACTTAGGGTTTGGTTTTTTTTGAAGTCACGTGATATTTTCTTTTCAAACCAGGGCTTTTATTTTATGAGAAAATAAGGCCATATATATTTATATTTATATTAGGAGATAATGCATATTTTTTAGCATCCATGCCGTATATATTTAGCATGTTTATGCATACAGTTTTTGTTATCTATATATATAAAGTGAGAGCCCTAAAATGGTGAAGCTTTCCAAAATACCAAAATTGTCCTTTTGTTTCTTTCAAAATCAAAACCCCAAAAATTCAAAAAAGAAGGACAAAGTGGTAAAAAAAACATAACTGGAAGAGAGAGCATCAAAGCGGAAGTTGCAGGATAAGGAATGAGAATTGCAAACGTGGGATTCAAACAACCCTCCACGTTCTACGAACTACCAACCAGATCAAAGCCGGCACCTCGATTTCAATTCCTATTCTTTCACATCCTTCCCCCTCACTCCCAACACCATCTCCACTCCCTCTCTCGCTCTCTCTAAAATCTAAAATTAAATCACGGTGTGTTTCTGACTGCAGGGAAGAGGAATTCTCGAAATTTAGCTTTGCGCAGGCAAAGTGTGGGCTTTGAGAGCGAGCCAAAACTATCTAGCGATTCGATGGAATCGGAGAAGGAATTTCCAGGGTTGAACCAGAGCATGTACTCGACTATTGAACCTACCCTCTAGAGAAAAGCTTGACGGAGCCGAAACCGTGACCAACCGTCATCCGCTTTCTCCCATAACATCATACGCTTATTCTCGCAACTCTCCTCGCAGTCCACACCGTACGATCAATCTCTCTCTTTATTTATTTATTTTTCATAAATTTAATGATGATGTTCTACGGCGAGATTCAAGTGGGTTTAATCCTCCTGATTAGTTTTAATTTCATCAGGGATGCCTTCGGCATTGCGTTCGACATCGACGGCGTCGTTTTACGAAGCGAAGCTCCCATCGGAGGCTCTCCTCGGGCCTTCAGAAGATTGTACGACGATTCTGGTACCCCCATTTCTTATACCCATCTCCCAATTTTTGATCTTTCTGGGAATTAATTTCTGGAATTTTAAATTTTTTTGCCAGGTAATCTCAGGATTCCATACGTGTTCTTGACAAATGGTTAGTTTCTAATTTGTAATTTTTCCACCTGGTATAATCCAAATTTTTGTTATTTTTTTTTTAAATTAATTGTTTTAAATTTTTGGGTTTTTTGGTTGTGATAGGAGGTAGGATTAGTGAATCCAAAAGAGCCCTTGAGTTAAGTTCACTTTTAGGAGTGAAGATTTCACCTTTACAGGTATATTTTTGTTGAGGGTTTTCATAAATTTTTATAATTTTAACTCTTTTATCCAGATTTGTGTGCTTTTTACCTCTTATTTTTATGTAATTTTACCTTTTTGTTGATTGCGTGGTGTTGGATGCAGGTTTTACAGGGCCATGCACCTTTTAAGCAGTTACTAAACAGGTATGTAATATGATGCATATAAGTTGAGTTATGGGTCAGAACGTAAATTCTTGCTGTACAAGTTTATACTGTTTTCTTTTGCGTTTGATCGAGTATTTGCAATGCTGGCATGGTTCATTTTTCTGTGCTACATGTATATTCCTCTAGGCTAAATGTGGGAATGAATAGTTATACATGGTGCAAATCAACTTGAATTATGCATCTAAGCGTATGCATTTCAACCTTACTAAATGTTCAATAGACTCACTACGTAATTTGTCTGAGAGAGAGATTTCCTTATATTCTTCTGTTCAAGATTTTCGGTTTGTGTTGTGCAGATTTGAGAATGAACTCATTGTTCGCTTTCTGTCCAAAACTAAGTATTTCACGGTACAAAACCAGAAACTTGAACGGACATCCATTGCAAGCATATCCCCTGATCATGAAATTCCATAGGAACAAGTTTTTCAGTAAAATCCCACAAAAAAACTGCTGCGCTTGGGGCATTTTACCGCAAAATCTCTCTGGCTTTAATTCTTTGTTGTTTTATCCTTTCTGTGTGAGATTCTATCTTATTTTTTATAATCTCTGCATTCTTATTCATGTGCTTATAACAACCATTTATTGATTATTACTTTTCTTGCAGTTCCAAGCTTTTGATGAATTTCAGATGGTTGCGATTTATTAGTTAAAGTTACTTCTTGCTTCCTGTTTGGGTTAATATTTAATATTGGGTTTTATGTTAGTGAGGCCCAAGGATGCCAAAGTGATAGGACTTTAGGTAGGAACTTGCATCCAAAATCCCATGTTGTTTGACAATTGCATATCGATTTTGGCATGAATGTTGGGGATGAGGTATATATCTTAAACCAGATTACTTAATTATAGTTAAATTAACTTTTTTTTTCTTTTTCTGTTATGTAGCTGAAGCAGCTAAAGTTGAGTGTTTTAATCGGTTGTATATATCACCCAGTTTACCTGTTCCTACTGCTGCTCAACAGGGACGAGTTTCACAGCAGGTGAGTGAAAAATCTGGGTTCTTAATTTTCTATTTTCTAATTGAAATTTGATGGTATATCTGATTCAATTGGAAGACTAAGCTAAAAGTACAAGTGGTATTTTTTGGTTAATTTGTTGGTTTTTTTGATGGCTCTTCTGGGTTGTTGTTAATTGTATGTTTTATGATTGAATTTGGCATCAATTTATCCAATGGATTAATGAGCTAAAACTACAAGTGGGGTTGTTTTGATTTTTGGGTTGTTTAATTTTCTGTTATTTTATTATGAGAAAATAAGGATTTGAACATGTTAATTAGCTAAGAATTAGTTTACATTGGACAATATATATGATTTTGGATTCGTGTTGGTGTAGCTAGGGACAATTATATATGTGGATGGATGTTGGGTTGGAAGGTCTACTCATAAAGAAGAACAAATCTAATGGTAGAGTGAAACTGAAAAGCAGCCAAACTTAAATTGCAATTTGCCAAAGAGCACGGTTGGCCCTTTGTTTTAAAATTTTCATACTTCTCATTCTTATGTACCCTTATGTATCGGTAACGTGTATTCAACTTTAAAACTTTATCCGAAACCATTTGGTGGGTGTTTGGAATTTTGGAATTAGATTTTCAATTTGGTTTGTGAATTGCTAACTTTATCAACTCCTCTTGCTTAGCCTCAATTATTTCAGTTGGCATTGGTTGCAGACCCATTTGTTGAGGCTCGAAGAAAAAGGAAGGGGGGAAAGTGTATTCTTGCCATAGATTTTCTGTTGGGAGTGAGCATTGAAGAAAAGGGAAGGTGATAACAGCGGAAGAGGTGGCTTTTTGCTTTTGGCCTTTTGTTTTCTTCATTTTGCTTAATGTTGAGACTTGAGAAAATAACTTCTAATGTTGAACCCCAATTCGAGAAGATAATGTGAAGAAAAGAAATATTCGTAATTGTTATTATGTCCAAGATCAAACCAATTATGAACAATTGTTGTCCTCTAACAAAAAAAATTTTGACCGATGTTTAGTTATTCATAATCTTCTTCGTAATCTCAAATATCCATGTAGTCCAAAATCATCCCTAAACACCAGCGGGGTTCGAGAAGGATTTTGAATACCATAACAGTTATTCATAATTATGATTTTGTTAAGGAACCTTGCGTGCATGCATTGTTTTTTTTTTTTTTTTTTAATCCATTTGAACCAAATCATCCCATCCCCATTTGCACCCCAACGACCAACAAAGCACCCCAAAATTTCTTAAGCTGTGTTGATCACAAATTATTGAAGATCATATCCTTAAACTAATGAACCAAAATTACTAATAAACATAATACCTAAGAAACCAAAATTACTAAAATTTTAAGGATATCATAACATTTTAGAGCTTATATGTGCATTGTTGAGTTATTAGAGCAAACTAATAAATATAATGAACCTACATTGAATACAAATTCTTCTTTGTCATGTGGTAGTTTTTTAGCCTCTTATTACAGGTTACACATTTCTAAAAACTTTTTATATTATGTCCAGCCCACATCCGTCATTTATGATAGGGTTTAGGGGTATTAAAAAAGTTTAAAATTCTACTCATCCAGTTGACATAAAAATTAAAACTCTATAAACAATGCTAATTTATAAAAGAAAAAAACATGAAAGCTAAATCATATCCAAGTCCTAACACCAACTGAGAAGTGTATATAAGCCCGTCATTTCCTTGCACTAATACTTATTACACTTCAAAAGTATTTTGTGATCATTTTATTTTGTTCTTTTGTATTATAGTGATGTGTAGATAAATGTTTTTTCTTCTTCTGTTCATAGGCATCTACGTAGACTTTTTCGTATTTATGGAATGTCACAGAATTTGTATTCAATTTAGGTTCATTTATTTTTAAATTTTTTAGATAAATTTTTCCATGGAGCGTGGCCAAAGTCGTGCAAGACAATGGCGTCAATCATTGAGTCCTGAAGAACATCAAAGATATCTAGCTCGACGACGTCTAATAGCACAAGAAAAAAGACAACAAATTCCAACTCTATATGATGATCATACTATGACATCCCCCAGTAACATACAACAAGAAATTCCTGGTATTTATTTCATATTCCTTTTTCTTTAACTCATACTAATGCAAAAAAAAAAAAAAAAATCTAATTTCTAATTTTTCTTTTAACTATGCAACAAGTAGGTCCCAATAATATACAAGAACGGGTTCAGTTGGCTAACTATGATGTTGAGGTCGACCCCAGTAATATAGAACAACAAATTCCTGGTATTTATTTCAATTTCTTTATTTGTATTTGTTTCACACTTAAAAAATTAGGTTATTTTTTAAGAACAAAAATAAGTGAATTGAAATCTCATTGTATTCTTTTCTTCGATACTTTCATATTGATCTCCATGTTGTAGTTATTTTTAGTGGTAGTCTTACAAAATATTAGACTCACAACTAAATATATTAAATATTAAAGACAAAATTTTTAACTAATCGTATTATAATGTGGTCTGTTTATTAGAACAAATTGAGCATGAAAGCGCGAATTCAAGGGTTTTGTCAGATATCACAAATCATGATGACCAAACTTCTACTAGAATGCGTACTCATATGGGACAGTTGGCACATTCAAATAGGTCACAAATATCTTATGGGATGCTCTCAATTCCTCCCCACAATGGTGAGCTTAGTATATAATTTTATCTTTATATAGATATGTGATTAGTTACAAAGAAAATTCTTATACTGAATGTTGTATATTCATGTAAAAATATCAGAAGAAGAACATGCAAATAGAACCAATTATCATGTGCGCCAAACCAGAGGAAGAAGAAACCACAATTGTGCTAGAAATTATAATGAGAATCGGGGTATCCTAGGTTGCCAATTATCTGCTCCAACCACATGTCCGTACTGCTATGCACGATTGTTTGCTCGAGAAACTTTGAATATGTGTTGCTTGAAAGGAAGAATTGTTTTACCCCCAATACAATCCCCACCAGAAATGGTTGCTCTTTTCTCTGACCAAACAAATGAGGGTAGACACTTCAGGCAAAATATTCGAGCTTACAATCATGCATTTGCATTCACTTCAATGGGAGTACACGTGGATGAAAGAATTAATATTGGTGGTCGTGGGATTTACACATTTCGTGCTCAAGGTGCATTATATCATAAGATTGGTGGACTTTTACCAAATGAAGGGAACAGACCGCGATTTTTACAAGCTTATATATATGACACTGAGCATGAAGTTGAAAACCGAATGTGTGAAAGTGAAGTTTTAGATAGACGTGTGGTTGAAAAGATACAACATATGTTGAACAACCATAATCCTTTTGTTCATACATTGCGAAGCCTCGGACAACGCCAAGATTTGCCGAATTGCAAGTTGATCCTAAAAGAGCAACCAATAGATCGGCGTCAGTATAGTCTACCATCAGCATCACAAGTTGCGGCAATTATAATAGATGGAGATAATGCCACAATTGCAAATGGAAGGGATATCGTAGTGGAGACAATTAGTGGAAGACTTTCTCACGTCCGAGACTATGTTGGATTTTATGATCCCTTACAATATCCACTATTGCTGCCTTACGGTACATATGGATGGGATGTTAACAGTCGTGATGATGGTGGAAGAACAATAACATGTTGCGACTATTATGCTTATATGTTACAGGTTTGTACTCATAACATAATTTACTTCCCGGTACATATAGATGAATTATGATTCCTATATTAAAAGCAATATATGAAATTTGCTTTTGTAGATACGCCATAATGGATCATCACTTTTGCTTCGAGGTGGACGTCTCTTGCAACAATATGCTGTAGATAACTACATTAAAATTGAATCACAAAAACTTAGATGGTTGCGTTCTAATCAAGCCACAGTTAGAGCGGATCTCTACAAAGGACTTGAAGACTCTCTAAATGCAGGTCAACACAATGCAGGTATATATATTGTTTCAGTCATCGTTATTTAGAAATATAACTTTGTTTAAAGTGTGTACAATATATATAGCTAATTGAAAATAAAATATTATTAGGTAGCATCGGGCGTAGAATTATTTTACCATCATCATTTGTTGGAAGCCCACGTGACATGCACCAACGATATCAAGACGCAATGACTTTGGTTCAAAGATTCGGAAAGCCAGATCTTTTTATTACCATGACATGTAACCCAAGTTGGGAAGAAATCAAAAGCGAATTACTCGCTGGACAAACTCCACAAGATCGCCCTGACTTACTCACTAGAGTATTTCGTGCAAAACTTGAGCAACTAAAAGAAGACATCATTGAAAAGGGGGTATTGGGCAGTGTTGTTGCTTACGCATACGTTATTGAGTTTCAGAAACGTGGTCTTCCACATGTGCATATGCTGGTTGTGTTAGATGAAAATGATAAGATCAATAACCCAGATGAGTATGACCGAATTGTTAAAGCTGAAATACCAAATGAAGATGTAGAGCCTCAACTTTATAATGTGGTGTTAAAGCATATGATTCATGGCCCGTGTGGGATTCATAATCCTCTATCTCCATGTATGAAAAATGGGAGTTGTAAGAGAAAGTTTCCCAAACCATTTGCACCAGTCACCGTTCAAGGGAATGATTCGTATCCAATTTATCAAAGGCGAGGAAATCGATTGCCCGTCTCACTTAATCGACAAGGAAACATAATGGTTGATAATAGTTGGATCATTCCATATAATCCATGGTTGCTGTTAAGGTATGATTGTCACATCAATGTTGAAATTTGCGCAAGCATAAAAAGTGTCAAGTACTTATATAAGTATGTTTACAAAGGCCCAGACAGAGTGACAGTTGAAGTGCAATCAGACCCTCAGTACGATGAAATAAAGCAGTTTCAGGATGCAAGATGGGTTTGCGCACCAGAGGCATTATGGAAAATATTCAAGTTCATTATTAATCGAATTTATCTATCTGTTGAGCGAATGCAAATACATCTTCCTAATATGCACCAAGTTCAGTTTCGTGCCGATGAAAGCATAACAAATATTCTACATGATGAGAGTACAAGAAAGACAATGTTGACTGAATTTTTTACACTTAATCATGTGGATGCAGAAGCGCGACATTATTTATACATGGAGATACCATCACATTACAGATGGATTCAAGCTCAAAGAAAGTGGTCTAAAAGAAAGAATCGTAACAAGGTTATTGGGCGAATATATGCAGTTTCACCTGCTGAAGGCGAAAAATTTTACCTTCGGATTCTTCTTAATCATGTTAGAGGACCAACATCCTTCACAAACTTGAGAACAGTTAATGGGGTTTTGCATCCAACATTTAAGCAGGCAGCAGAACAACGAGGTTTGTTAGAAAGAGATGACAGTATTCGACAATGTTTGTTAGAGGCCTCCACAATTCAGATGCCGTCGACTTTAAGAAGATTATTCGTCACCATATTGGTATATTGTGCACCAATTGGTGTTCGAGGGTTATGGGATGAGTTCTGTCCATTCATGATGGAAGATTATGTTTCCATGACTAACATAACTCCCACACTTGCTACCAACATACTCTTGCGTGAGTTGAACATACTTTTGGTTCAATTTAACAAGAGTATAAACGAGTTTGATTTGCCCCAAATGACAAGAGGAAATGAATCAAGTTCAGGAATGACCGGATGTATTGAAGATGAAATATCCATATGTATTCCACAACAAGATCTTGATGCAATTGAACGCTTAAATGATGACCAAAA